AATCCTCTTATTTCAAGGATAGCCTCCAAATACATTAGTATGTATCTAAAGATTTGGCATAGGCAAAGTAAATGTCTTAAAATATTTATATTTAATTACTGATTCCGGGTGGTGGGTGGGGCTAAAGTGTATGGAATTGTGCACAGGTAGGCATTATTTCTAAATAAAATGTGAAAGACCGTGTCACGGGCTAGTTTTCCCATTCATAATCTCCTTCATTCACTCACTCATCCATTCAACAGGCCTCATTAATTACCTTGTTCACCAGGTACAATGCCAGGGATTGCCAGGGTTTCAGTGGGAAAGAGTTCAATTGAAGACCTCAAGGTAGGAAGGAATCACTGACGGAATGTATGTTAGGGGAAGAGGGAGTTTGCATGAAGAGAACATGTTCCACGGAGGCACTTGAAAATCAGCGTAATCAGTGCTGTGAGTTGGGAGTGTGGAGGAAGGCCAGATCATGAAGAAAGACCTTATAAAGAATTGCAGGTAGTGGAAGCCATTGCTGGGTTATAGGCAGAGAAGTGATGTCTGATTTGCATGCAGGAGTAAGTTGCACTCTGGAGAGAGTTGGAAAGGAGCAAAAATGGAAGGAGAGTAAGATAGTCGTAGTAGTTCCAGGGGTTGAATTAGAGTAGCGATGAGTCTGGGAGATGGTCACAGGGAAAAAGGAATTGATGTGTGTTTCATAATTTATGTAATGTTGTTGTAGTGTACACTACTGTAGAGTCGGAACTGACCCGTCGCTCACAGCTCACCTTCCAGCGCGTTTTCAGAGACACTTAAGGAGGAGAGTGCCCATTCTCCTCCCAAGGAGCAGCTGGTGGCCTTGAACTGTGTGCCTTTGGAATTGCGTCGCAGCTTCTTGCCACTAGGCCACCAGAGCTCCCTAGTTAACATTAGGAAAATCTTCTTGCTGGAGGAAAGAGTGTTTGGGGGGGAGGGGAAGAATTTATTTTCAAATTTTCTGTGGGTGATCTAAGAAGTGGTGCCTCCGGAGAAAGAGTTCTTAGGCTGCTAACAAAGGTTCCCTGGTATTTCAAATCCACCAGTGACTCCAAGGAAAAGGGACTATCTCTTTAAGTCGTGTTTGACAGCCTCAGAAACCCAGCGAAGGAGAAATGTACTCAATAGCAGTGAATCCTGAATTGAGAGAAGAGAAGCTGAAAGGCGAGATGATATCCTAGACTAAGGCAGTATTGCTGTGAGAATTAACTGGCCCATATCAACAAACCACCTTGAAACGTACCTTCTTATAATGATAGCACCAACTATTTTGTTTTTATCATGTGTTCAGGTGATAATTTACACTTATCTTAGCCTCTAATTGTGACCTTAAGATAAAATGTAATTTTTCTCTCCCTTTAAAGGATACTGCAATATTTGTATAGGATCAATTGTCTATAAAAAAAAAGTGTTGAGGGCGGGCGGGGAGGGTGAAGATGGCCTGGTAATTCCCTGGTGTCACCAGGGATGTGGTTTCTATTCTGCTTCGCCATCATAGCGTGGCTTTCACCTTCAAGTTTACTTCATGGTTCAAGAGACTGTTGTACAGCTATCATTTTTGAAGGGCGACAGGGGACCTCTCCCTGCTGAGTCAGGTTTCTTTTAAGCAAGCTCTCTCAAAAGTCCCTCACAATACTTTGAGAAAGGCTGCTTAAAGGACAGACTTCCTCACAATACTGCTTGCACTTTACTTGCAAACCTTATCACGTGGCCATCCCTAGCTGCTGGCTGGTTGTTGTTGCTAAGTGTCACGAAGTCAACCTAGAGTGCTGGACTTTAAAAAAAAATAAAAAAATAATCTGTTCTCTTGCAAAATAGAAGGCGAAGAACATGGATATTGAAGGAGTCTCTCTTGGATATGTAGATAGCATATAAAAGATGAGTTTTCACATACTGCATCTTTTAGTGTTGCTATAAATACTTAGTTTTTGTTTTGAGAAATCACAAAACCCCAGCACCCCAAAAAACTCCCAGCAGTCCTTCCAACTCACATAGCTTGTGAACGAATTTTTTTTATCACCTACCAGTTACCAAATAGAGAACTCTGGCCTAGTGGACAGGAGCTGCATTGCAATCCCAAAAGCACGTGGTTGGAGGAGTCCACCAGCTGCTCCACCAGCTGAGAGAAGGATGGGCAGCCTCCTCTGGTGATGCTTTATTGCCTCCGAAAAGCTGCTGCAGGATCCCGTGGGTCGGTTCCCACTCGATGGCACACAATTGCCCACTACTAGGTGAACACACACAGCACCACAATAGATGCCCTGCTTTATGACACTGAATAGCACAGCTACAGTGGTGTTACAGAGATGGCAAAGAGAGGCTCGGCATTGCCAGCTATTTTTTAAAAATGCCTTTGTGCCCATAGAAATAATTATTAAACTCTTGCAAGACTATATCTGACCTATATGCAACTATGCTGTGTTGGATTTGGTTTGGAGAAGTATTAGAAAATGGGAAAGTGTTTATCTATCTAAAAAATACCAGAGGGTAAATTTTTAATGTCTGTGCAGTTTTTAGTCAGACTGTTGTGTAATGTTGAAAGACCTGGCCATGAACTGGATGGTTTTTAGGCCACTTTGATCTCCAAAGTTCTCCATAGTTATGTACACACTAATTTCTTGAGACTGTTGATTTAAATTTGATAAACAACAGGAGATGATAGTGGAAAACCCTCTTCACTTATTTTGATTCACATTTAGAATAGTGAAAACGCCACTATCTTTTTGTACATAAGGAGGCAGTGGGCAGATGACAACGACTGTCTTGAGGCCTCAAGGGAAATGGATAGAATCTCCTGTGCCCTTCGCTCCTTCTGGCAGGGTGGCCTGGGTAAATTGTTTTTCATGATAGCCCATCAGGTGAGGAGGAACAAATTCTCACTTGTAATATCCCAGCTAATAAATGAAAATGGAATCATAGAATTCAAGTATCACCAATTTTAACTCCTAATGAAATAATGGATCTAGGGAATGATCATCGACTTAACATTACTGAAAGCAACCTGAGCAGACATCCTGTGCCTGCTGTTAAGTTGCTGTGTCCCTTATGAAATATTCCAACCAGAGGATCAAATCTGAATGTGATTAAGCCTCCATATCCAACCACTAGGGGACATAGGAACATATTAAGTGACATCAGGGAAATTTAGTCACGAAATGCCAGGCTGGTAATGTCCAACTCGGTGACCTGTTATCGTCAACAAATATATTGAGTATAAGAGACATTCTTAAACAGTTCATGAAAAGTGGTTGTTTTTTAAAAAAACACCAACATACAAAACACTACAATTGGAATACAATGATTATCAGATATTAATATTTACATTTCTAGGGAATATGCTGATGTATTGTAGTTCTGTAGTAGCAGGTACATAGCGAACTATTTCTGGATGAAGTGATATATTTTTAATTGCAGTTAATCTGACATGGGATGGACTAGGTGAAGGTAAAGACAAAACAAAGATTAATTTTAGATTAATATGTGAAACCAGGTCATGGGTATATGAGGACTTCCTGTACTCTTCTCTTTACTTTTATACATGCTTAATTTTTTTCTTAATAGAATTTTAGAATTCTGAATTAGGAAGGAAGGCTGAGCATTCATATGATAGTGTATGAAATTATGAAAGACAACACTAGGAGCAATGTGGATGTGTTTGCTGTCTCTAAATAGTGGAAAATAGGAGCCATCTGGTGTAATAAAGAAATAGCTTTGGGACAAATAGAAAATTTTACTTCATATCATTTGTTTTCCATATCTCCAAATGTATTAGGAAAAACCATCATTAAAGAAGTTTAGGGGATATTGTTAATCGTTTGCAGCAGACAGCCCTGCTCTTAATTGATAGTAAATATGATTTTAGTATTCTAAAGATAAGGTACCGTGATGTAGCCCATTATTTTCATACTTCCTCTATATAAGACAAATATAAAAACTCTGGCCTAGTGGCAAGAAGCTGCACTGCAATCCTGAAGCACATGGTTCAAGACCATCAGCTGCTCAGAGGGAGATGCATGGTCTCCTCCCGTGCAATTAACTGCCTCTGAAAACCCATTGGACAATTAGCTGTGGGATGATTCCAACTCAGTGGTACATAACAACAGGACAAACGCCTTAAACAACATGCCTCTGGAAATTCTATGAACTTTGATAAATAACGATAGTTACAGAAAGGCTTTAGGCCTTCTGTTCATCGGGTCACTATGGATCGTGCTTGATTTGATGGCAATCAACAACAGAGAAACTAGATCTTGTTCAATTTCTTATGCTTAGTTTTTAAAAGATTACATTATGGCAGGTAGTAAGTGTGTACTGTAAGTCTTCCTCATTGAATTTTCACAGAGAGGACTACCATTAAAAACATACAGGAGTATTTCCTGTACCTCCTGTAGGTTCTGGCTTCTATATTCTCACTCAGAGATAACATATTCTGATTTGTTAGCAACATAAATTTGCTGTACCTTTTCTCCAACTGTGCAATTGTGGTAGGCATTTAAAGTGTAATGTGGGATATACATATATATTTCCACATTTCCATACAAGGGTAGTTTGTTATTTTTATTGCTCTGTTATTCCCCTGCACAAATATACTTAAGTTCTCCTGTAGATCAAAATTTTGGCATGTTTGACTACTCTGGATAAAGATACCACAGACCTTCTTTGGTCAACATGTACATTCCCATTTCTTGGGAATTGCTGTGTTGTAGCATAGACATACATTTTGGTTTAGACATATCTTGCTTTTCTACAGTGATTTTATCAATTTCCTGTGCTAGGAGCCATGTGTGAGTTTTAGTTGCTTGCCGTTCTCATTCTTACAAGTGATTGCTAATACATTCTTCATTTTAGAAACTTTGATGGTGTTCATCCTTAAATTTGAGCTACTAAGATTGACATGTATTTTTACATTAAAATACTTCATAGATCCTCTTGTGTGTAATTGTTTCTATCTCCCTTGTAGCTTAAACTGAACTGTTCCTTTTTTCTTTTTACAGTTGTCACGGGCAGTACGGATGGGATTGGAAAGTCCTATGCAGAGGAGGTGAGTGGTTTTAAAGATTTTTGGTATAAAATAAGAATCAATATGGAATAACACTTTGTAGTTCTTAACCCACGTTTATGAAGGTATTGTTTACCATAATTCTTCATGTAAATGTTTCCTCCGCTGTAACAAGTAAGAAGTTGATGGGATGGATCCCTTTCCAACTGCATGAATATCCTCCTTCCCAGGATTATCAGTTGGTTTTGTTGACATGTAACATTGACTAGTCTTTTTATAATTGTAGAAGGAAAGTTACTAGGTGATATTTTACTATAATAATTTTTCCATGATCATCAGCAGTATGGTCAAATAGCTTCTTCAGTGGTCTTCAATATTTAAAGATTTGGCTTTTCTTATTTTCTTTCAGTCTTACTCATTGAGTAATGAATGGTAATGTTAGAATTTACAGACACCCAATTTATTAATCATTTATATACTGTCAGTTATATAGTTAAGTGGAAAGTTTTGTGTGTTAATGATTTCCCTCTTCTCTGACATAATAGATCCATAGGATCACATTATTGTAAATCTATTTTATCTTTTATACACAGTGCTAAGCATATGTATAGGAAGTGTTCTGGAAACTTACTAGTTTATTCCGTTAATATTTCCAAATTTTTTGGATTGTCTATATAGCATAATTCTAAATTTTTAAATTGTCTGGATTTTAAGAAATTCTTAACTTTTTAACTGTATTTCCTTTTGTTATGCAGTCCAAGACCACCTCCTGAAATTTTTTCCAATAGATTTTTAAATTACAACAGTAATAAATCTGATTTTAAAAATACAGTATGTAAAGGCACAAAATGAAACGTAAAAGCCCCCTTCTTCCTGCAACCCTCCCTTGCTACATTTAAATGCTTGCTTAAAGGCACTCAATGGGGAATCCTTTTATAAGTGTTTCTTTTGGACTGGTCATTATCCCGAGGCTTATTTTCTAATTTAATTGTCATATTGTGTATTTCTTAAAATGGGCATGTATCTGATCTCTTTTCAAATGAACTGTACAGGTGTGATTGAACTGCTTGGTCTCTTTTTATTTTAGTTAGCAAAGCGTGGAATGAAAGTCGTCCTTATCAGCAGATCCCAGGATAAACTGAACCAGGTTTCCAGTGAAATCAGTAAGTTCTGACATCACTGTCTCTGTGCCTGTCTGTCTCTCTCCCATGATAATAAAAATAGATACAAGCTTAATGTTTTAAGTGAGATACAGAACACTGATGATGATTTATAGACTTATAGTTTGGAATACTGCTTTTTCATGGTATTAATAGGAGATTTTAAAGCTATACTATCAACTTAATAAATTTAATTGAGTCTTATTGTGATATGTCTTATATAAATAATATTTATTTAATATGATTTATTTATTATAAATAAATATATATAAGTCTTGTGGTGACTCAGTTTGATACCATCAGAAGCCAAACACTGTAATTTCTTTCATGTTGTGCATGTGTCTGAATTCTTTGCCATTGCTTCATTTCCATATTCTTGAATGGTTTTTTACTCTGAGGTCACAGCCTGTAAAGGTCTAATATGGAACCCTGGTGGCACAATGTTTTAAGTGCTGAGCTTCTAACCAACATGTCTGTTCAAATGCATCAGCTTCGCAGGAGGAAAAACCTGACAGTGGGCTTCTGTAGAGACCACAGGCCAGCAGTCCTGACAGGTGGCTTTACAGTAATGAAAAATGGCTAGCGCAGAAGTTGAAAAGAATACAAAAGGTAGAATTTACACCAGTGACAGAAGAGCTATTTTGAACTTCGACCTGAATTATGTGAGCAATATTTTTTAACTGCTAACGGTTTGACCCACCAACTTCCTATCGATTTTGACACCAGAAATCCCCCTTCAATACTTGAGGTAATCACTGTCAAAAAAAATCGAGGCTCCTTTTTTTTTTTTTAAATCGAGGCTCCTTGCACCGGGCAAATCTGCTATCAAGGACCTCTTCAAAGTCAAACATAAGGATTCCAGTTTAAGTACTGAAGTATGCCTGACCCAGCTATGGTGTCATCACTTGCTTCATGTGCTTGTGAAAGCTGGATAATGAATAAAGAAGACCAAAGAAAGGTGGTTTTGGTGAATTTTGAATATGCCATGGATTGCCAAGAGAACAAACCAGAGCAGTTGGGAACAAGTTCGGCCAAGTTGCTGTGTAGAGGGAAGAACGATGAGACTTCCTGGCTCAGGACCAATCTGGTTTTGTTCTGTTGTTCACAGAGCTACCAGTTGGGAGTCAGCTCCCTGACACATACCAACACGATTTCTTACTTTCATTGGCTTTTCTCAGTAACCAACTATCTCAGTTCTTTCATGTGAGAAGACACTACTAGATTTTAAAAATGTTTATATATGCTGTTGAGTCTACTGAATTTTGTTAGAATACTACAGCTTAGTGCCAATAGTTCCACAATGCTCCGACGTATAGTATCTTTTATCCTCTCAACATCTGTGACGTAAATATTTTTGTTACTGTTTCTCTTCAAGCCAGAGCTGTTCCTGCCTGACAGATAACACGTAGGTACATGTTATCTTTTGGTGATAAACAGATCTTCATCTGTAGCTTGCTTTTATTGTGTTAAATCTCTTCTAACCAGTACTTTTTTTTAAGAAAGGCAACTAAAAGTGGAGATATAGATATATGAAGATGAGCATGTGGTATATAGCTATGCATTCAAGACGTCACTTAATTAAAGGCAACCCCGGTGGTCTAAGACATACAAGAGTTTATAGTTTTGCTGAAGTGCCACTTTGAGGGAAACTGAGAGGCTAATGAATCTGAGGTAGTTCCTTAGATAGTAGGCAAACTTAACATACTGCTTGGATCTCAAACTTTTGAGTGTTCACTTTGAAAATGCCTATTCCCTGGGACATAGTGAATTTGCCATGTACGTGATTTGGGAGCGAGGACAGTGCTGCCCGTGACTGTCTTTCAGCATGTGCACTAGCCTGTGCTGAGACTGCTCAGCGCCTCAGAGGATATACTTTAATGACGTTTGAAAATTTGCTTAACTTGTGGTGTGAGGTGACATGTGACTAGGGTTGGTAATGTGATTCGGAGGAAAGACAGGTTCCCGTTCAAATATTTTCACAAAGAAACAGATGGTGAAGGCACTGAATTGACCTTTTAGTATCAGGACTTTTTTTTCCTGGTTGAAAATTTTGTAAAACATTTGACCGCGTATAATATAAATTGGATGGGGAAAGGTGACCCTGCCACCATGCTCTCAGCTGAGGGAATACACAGAAATTTATAGGCTAGGACAAGTTTTCGACTCGGATGTAAACCATCTCTGGGTTTTCATAAACATATCTATTCTAGGAGCGGGAAGGACCAGGATTTAAAGTTGACAAAGACAAAGGTACTCTGCGTTTCTTTGTTTATACCTTTAGCACTTATTTATTGAGCTCTGTGAGCCGGGTACTGCCAGAGGAGAAACAGTGGTGAACAGGATGGATGCAGAGAGTTGTCGTGGGAGAGAGATGTATAAAGTTACATGCCATAAATATACTTAGCACTTCTGTTTCCTTAAGGCTTTAGATTCCTTCCTCTGTATTATACCAGCAACATCTGTCCTCCCAATCTCAGTAAATGTAGGCTATTCTGGAATCTAAAAGTTTTAGCTAGTGACATTAACTTAGGGGCCTCGGGTAGCCTGGTGAGTAAGGAGTTGCACCACCAACTCAAAGGCACATGGTTTGAATCCACCAACTCCTCTGCAGGAGATGGGCACTCTGCTCATGTGATTTACAGCCTTTAAAAACACTGGTCAGCTGAGTCACTTCCGACTTAAAAGACACAACAGGACCACCACCACCACATTCAGCACCTTCCAGCTTAGGAGCTAAGCATTAAATTTTTAGCCCCTGGTAAACAACTCAAATTAGGAAGGGGTGGGACACATGGCCTGATGTTACTTTCTGCTTTCTTAAATCGACCACTCGTAGAATCCATTCCACTTGCATTCTCCAATGTTATTACACTGTTTTGGTGTTGTATACCAGAGAGTTGGAAAACCCATAGCTGATCCTCTGGCCAGTGGAGATTGCACTTCCTTCTCCCATGTAGCGGTTGGTGGCCTCAAACCATGTGCCTGTGGGATTGCAGCACAGCTTCTTGCCACTAGGCCACCAGAGCTTCTTTTGGTTTATGAACTATTATTTCCTGGGTCAGACTTCATGTGTTTCCCAGAGAAATTTGAGATCTAACCCTAGTCCTCAGACAAAAGGGATGTTTCAGTGGACTGGATCGCAAGGTGAAAAGGTATAATTTTGCAAGAAAACCATCCCAGCAGTTCTGATGGAGGTTTTCCAATGATTTTCAAGCCAGGAAAAGTTACAGGAGAGCCGACTACTTCCTCAGGTTTCCCTGAACCCACCCAGATAGCCTCATCCCAACCCAGTCCCACACTTCCTCATTCAGTGTAGTCCCGGATGAATCTAACTCCACACCTGGATCAGTGGCTGGTGCTCTCCAAGATGAACTCTGTGACCGTAAGGAATCAGGTACCTTAAGGTAGCCAGTTCTTCCCATTTTCTGATTGTAAATGTTACTTGAAAGACCTGAGCACTTCATTTTCTTTTCATGTTTGTGTTGCAGTATATTCAGAAGCAGCCATGCCATGCCATGCCATACTTTTGGATCGTTTTTGCCAGAGTAACTTGGTCCCCTGTGGTACCACTTAGTAGGTCAGCTATAGGTGTTAATTTGATTAATTGTGGTGGTCTCTAACAGTTTGTTGCCTATTGGAAAAAAAGCATAGCAAACACATTCAAGTCTTAAGACAATAAAACCAGTGTAAGAATCCTGTCTTTCTCTCTTTGGATTCTATTTCTTAGCATCTCACCCCCTGGTATCAATTTTTTTTATCAGTTAGAATCCAGTCAGAGGGGAAAAGAGAGTTGCACAAGGTAATTGAATTGGCCTAACTTGACACTTCAAGTAAAATTCTTAGACTCAGTTTAGCAAGTTAAGCTATCACCTGTACTTCCCCCACCCTCCCATTTGACTGAAAGAAGAAAAGACGTTCATACTGCAAGTTTACAGAATACTGCAGAGCCTCCACAAGAAAAAGACTGGTCATCTAAGAACAAAATAGACAAAGACATGAAAGGGATCTTGACAAAGGAACATATTCGGCTGACCAACAGATCAAGAAGACAGATGAGGAAATGCTTGAAATGACTGACATGCAAATCAAAACAGTGAGATACCATCTCACTCCAGTAGCAGGGGCACAATGAAATTTACTGGAACAAGTTGGGATTGTAAAATGGTACAGTGGAAGGCAGTTTGGTGTTTCCTTAAAAAGCTGAACACAGATATGGGGAGATACCCCAAGAAGTGAACCATGAATGGAGATGTGTACACCTATGTTCATAGGGGCATTATTCATAATAGTAATAACTATCAGTAATAGTAAGAAAATGAAAACAGCTCAAATATCCAAATGAATGGATTGAGAAAATATACATTCATGCAGTGGAATACTATGCAGCACCAAGGACGAATGATTTGTCAAATACTATATAACATTGAAGACTGAACTCATTTTCATAAGGATAAATACTGTATAAAGCCATTGTGGCAACAACATGGCTCTTCATCTAAGATAATATACTAATATTGTGGTTTAGACTCACAGAATTTATATTTTAGTTAATATTGCAGAATCATTATTGATACCCAGTTGGTCAGTGAGATGGTATCAGAAAGTTTACACAATGGAAAGGTTCACAGGGCTCCAGGGCCGGGTTGTGGCTCTGTCTCCTTGTGGCAGCGTAGCATAGCGGGAAAAGCATGCAAGCTGCAATGACCAGAGTCATGTCAGGACGGGTCTGTCGAAAGTCTCTTCCTCTCTTTGACCAGGTATTGGTAGGAAGGAGTGGAGCTGAAACTAACCAGAAGAGGCATTACATTTCCAGGAAAATCTCAAGGAAAAATTTGCAAGCAATAGTACTAGCAGTTGGATTTGCATCTAAAGGAAAGAGTGGAGAGACTCAGCCAATAAGTGTGAACGTTGGAGACAAAGTTCTTCTCAAACATGAAGGCACCAGAGATCGACGACATGACATGGATTATTTCTTTAGAGATGGTGACATTTTGTTGAAATAT